TTTTTTTTTCGGACGTCATACGATTATAATTATTTTATTATAAATACATAGTGAAATTGGTATGTCAAAATAATAATATGCTCAATGCATAACATGAATAAATTACCTATCAGATACGCTTCAGATCGACTACAAACAATAGTTGAGCAGACGGTATAATTATACTAATCCAATAAAATAATAAAAGATAATATTAAGTCATTCAAAATGTTATTTTAATAATATTATAATATGGTCGTCATACACTCATAATTCGAGAACGCTGATCTTAACAGTCAATTCGCAACTTTTACTTTTTTCGTTAGCTGGCACACACAAAAAWAAAAWAAATAAATAAATACGCATACTAATAATAATATAATATTTTGAGACGATTCATTTTATTTCAGCACTCAYCACAGATTCCGAGAATGCGTGCTCGACCAAACACGGAGGACATGCAACCAAGACGACGATTCCTTTACACAACAATTGTTGGACAAAGCGTTTGGATTTTTCCGCAACCAGTGTATAGATTACGTGTAAGTACCTACTTATGCAGGATGATATTATTATTATATATAATATTAATTGTTTTATTCGGTCAACAACTAACACGACAGATGGTGTGTGTACATCATGTCCTGATTATAAAGACGATATCATAATGATCAGTTAGTTGGCGAGTACTTTCGTGGAATATTATGATTTTTTTCTTTTCACACTTTCACACTTTCACGACATAATCGTTGCAACTTGTGGCCATACCTACGGTATGTTTCACCAAACGTGCTTATTTTTCCATGTTACCATTTAATGATGAATTATTAATCTATATACCGATGTTTTGACATTTTTTGGTATAGGTATTCGTATTCTTCGGCAACATGTTTTTATTTTTTTGGATTAATATACCGTTTAAGGAATGTCCTAAACTWTTTGTTTTTAAGGATAACCAACCTTTTTTCCTGTAAATTATTATTAACCATATTTGAACCGCAAATCATTATACTGAGGATAATATTATGACCCTTAAAAATGGGATGAAAAATATCATTTAGACATTGTATCTAGTAATTATATTATACTA